TTGACATGCAATGGGATTTGTTGGTAATTTCTACGGATATTGGAAGGCAATGTATTTCAGTGTTGTTGCAGACTTGGGATGCTATTTAGTCTAATGATATGCTTAGACTGTCTTTCTTTAATGTAATGGTAAAATTAAAGAAAAAAGCATATTTTTTACAGTGTCTGTCTTCAATCTGCAAAGTTTGGCATGCATTACCTTTGCAGGTTTGCACAGGGACCCCCAGTATATATACATATTAATATATATATATTACAGGGCTTGAAAAATTTTAGGGGGTCTCACCAGTCAGTCAAAAATTTCACCAGTCAGCATGACCGGACTATAGCCTTGCATCGCCATTTGGATATGCAATATGCGCAGCGGGCCTCCCCGCCACGCTAGTAATATACGTAGCTTGTCAGCAGCCGGACACAGCGCTCGCTGGTTACTATTTAAACCAGCGTGCGCTGTCACTCGTCCGGCACCGATGTCCTCTCGTCACAGACAAGAGGACAAGTTATTTTTCAAGCCCTGTTTTTTACTATATAATGAAAAAAGTACCATAAATTGTGGAAAAAAATATGTTTTCCCTACGTTATGTTAAAAAACATTTATTCTTGCCCATATTTTTGGTAAAATATAAAAGACGGGGTCACATCGGGTAAGTAGACACCAAACATGTCAAACTTTAGATTGCGTGCAGTGTGTGAGCTGAGTAAAGTCAGGTAAAAGACGGCATCTTCAGCCAATTGTTTCACACGTAATAACCGAATGACCTTCGCATCTTGACGCGCGGGTTTATACGTTCGAGCCGATTGGCTGAAGATTTAATTTTTCATCTCGACAGATATCAGTGGGGGGTTGGGAACATCATAACATCATCAATTACAGCTGTTTTCAAAAATAGTTTTATCTCTATTATTTAAATTATAGTTAAAAAAAAAGTATGTGGGGGGATGCTCAATGGGGACAGTATGGAGTCCATTCACTTGCCCATATTTTTGGTAAAATATAAAAGACGGGGTCACATCGGGTAAGTAGACACCAAACATGTCAAACTTTAGATTGCGTGCAGTGTGTGAGCTGAGTAAAGTCAGGTAAAAGACGGCATCTTCAGCCAATTGTTTCACACGTAATAACCGAATGACCTTCGCATCTTGACGCGCGGGTTTATACGTTCGAGCCGATTGGCTGAAGATTTAATTTTTCATCTCGGCACGCTCAGCTATGCTCGCTCTCGCAAGCTGCCGTGCCGCAGAGAAAATGACATGACACACTGCACGCGAAGGCAGCGATCTGTGACACACTGCTTTGCGTGCAGTGTGTCACAGCCTTAAGGGTGCAGGTGGGCTAGTTTGGGGCGTGGGGGGGAAACAGATATCAGTGGGGGGTTGGGAACATCATAACATCATCAATTACAGCTGTTTTCAAAAATAGTTTTATCTCTATTATTTAAATTATAGTTAAAAAAAAAGTATGTGGGGGGATGCTCAATGGGGACAGTATGGAGTCCATTCCCCCCACATACTTTTCTACTATAAATAATAGAGATAAAACTATATTACATACTAGTGTGGAGGCAGGAGGTACACAGGTGTCACAAATACTACTGTCAGTATATTACTCCCCTTCTTCTCCATCACTTCTACAGTACTGTATCCTACAGTCATGGAGAGAAAGGGGAGTGATACACTGATGGTGTCACACACAGCACAGTACCACGATCCCTGTAGGTCTGTGTCGGATCCGGTCATGATTCCCGCCATGGAGCCACCTCGGGACCCCTTTAGTCTCCTCATTGCCACACCTCCCTTGCCGCGCTGCACCGCTGCCAGACTGCCTGCTGGGTAATGCAGTCCTCTGGCCGGCGGCAGCTGTCCCGCTCCTCATTGGGAGAAATTGTCCCTGTAGATGGACTAGATACAGATTAGGGTTTGTGCTGTCCTGTGCAAATGGCATGTGTGTTAACAATAAAGCAGCTCAGGTTAGTGAGAACATTTTGGGGTTGATTTACTAAAGGCAAATGGGCTGTTCACTATGCAAGGCAGTTTGCACTTTGCAAGGGAATTTTCTTTTAGCTTAGTGAGTTGATGAAGCTCTGCTGAGTTCAATTATCTATTCACTAAAGGCAAATCGACTGCTCACTTTGCAAGGGAATTTTCCTTCAGCTATTCTCTTGAAAAGAATAGCCAATCATGTGCAGGGAAAATAAAAATACATTTGTCTTTTCTGGAGCAATGAGCACCATTTTATTTTAGGTAAAAAAAAAAGCACAGTAGAGATTTGTTAAACACACTATAAGAAAAAAGGAGCATGTCCTTGAGCAACAGTGATTGGTACTGAATAGTGGCCCAGTTGTCTTTTCTGCAACAAGGGGCTTCTAGAATCAGGTTATTGAATAAAGTCTTATTCAGTCTGAATTAAAATAATACAATTTCCAAGTACTGAAATCTTGATTAGTAGACTTAAAGTGACGCTAAGCACAAGAGTCAAAATGCATTCAAGTACCCTATTACCAAAAATGTATCTTATTTGTGTATCACTCGGCTGTAGATCCTCAAATCATCTCTGAATTGGTGCTGGCACTGTCCTTCCTTCTGGAGGGTGGTCCCTGTGTGTGTTGTAAAGTAGTCACCACTTCAAGCTCACACTCTAATAGACAATACCTTTAATACAAATTTTTAAAGTAAACGTGAGATTGTAGTCCATCATAGGAGCAGGCTTGGCGTGGTGGCTACTTTACAACACACACAGGGACCATGGGGAACAAAAGTAGCCACCCTCCAGAAGGAAGAACAGCATCAGCAGGAATTCAGAAATAATGTAAGGCTCTATAGTTGAGTGATACACAAATAAGATACATTTTTGTTAATAGTTAAGGCAAGGCTCAAAATTTCAAGTCCTGAGCTACTAGCCAGGCCTTAAGAGTCACTAGCCACCAGTTGCCCCACCTAACCCTTACCCTCCCCCGGCCTTAACTCCGCCCCTAAACACACCCTCTTAAATAATCTTATGATAGTTGTCGCTTGTAAACGGCAGATTAGGGATTGCTGCTGCAGGAAAACGCAAGTTCCTGACACAGGAATCTCTAATCACACCTGAAATATACTGTAGGTGTGAATGGGGCCTTAATATACACATACACTAAAGGTGTCCATACACCTGCTGATTATCGTACGATAATCGCGGGTGATCCCGCGACCGTACGATAATCGGCAGGTGTATGGGCAGCGTGCGACCGCTTCTACTGTAAGGTCGTACGACTTTCTTCTTCCAGGCACGCTGGAAAACCTGCCGAAAATCGTACATTTTTTGGCGGGTTGGTGGCTTGGTGGGAAGACACAGATGCAGACCGTGGAGCTTCTCCCGCAAGTCAAGTGTGCCTGATATGTCAGCTGGCTGTGGGCAATATAGTACCGGCTCGCGGGCCGGAGTTGGTCCGCGGACCGGTACTTGGGAGACCCAAATTTCCACTCGCCCTCACCTTATTTTTACTCGCCAAATGCGAGCAGGTGAGTGGAAATTTTGAGCCCTGGTTAAGGTACTTGAGTGCATTTTTAAGATTTAACTCCTGAGTTTAGTGTCACTTTAAAGACAACAGTATCATGGTACATTGTATAGCAAGTCTCATTGCTGCATAGCGAGATTTGTAATCTGCAGCAGACATACAATATGTCCACTATGTGTCTGCATGCTGACAATTTACATGTTAACAACTTCTTTTTAATATGGCTATATGTCTGCTACTGTATCGCTGTGTAAGCAAATAATGGCCATATTTACATTCATAGGTCAGTGGCAGTGCCTATAGCAGGTTAGAGAGGGCAGCATCAAACCTCAAAATTTACAAGACTGTCTCATCTGTTCGTCTGTGCTGTTAGAATTTAGTTGGTAAAATTAATCAGACAGCATGCTTCCTACAATAGTACATAAAAGCAAGCCTTTCCTGAAAGACATATGGGTGCTGCAAATGCAAATCCTCTTCTAAAGATGCTAATCGTTTGTCTCCAATGCACTAATCAGCTGGGTTCACTAAGGTTTGGAGTATATCTGTATAACTAACTGTAAATTATGTAAAATGTATTTATTTGCATATTTGCTCCAAGTACGTGGTGCATTGGGGCTTTTTTATAAATGTTCCGCCCATCGTATAGCGGGGTCGATGTTGCTCACATGGCACTAGCACCACTAGATGGCGCTGTGGAGTGATGAAAATTTCTATGCTTCCAAGAGCCATCTAGTCAGCCCCATAATTAACCCCTCAGTATTGAAGCAAGTGCATAAACATGACAGCCAGCAAACTAGCATTTGCAGAATGGGAAGTAGCAACGGTGGCCTTCATGTCTTTATTTGGAATGCTTTCTTCTAAGCATTTGTTTTTGCTAAAATATTTGCATGAGGGGGCTGAAGACTGTACTAAAGACCACCATACAGGTATGCCTATACCCTATCACCAACTTTAAAAAAATGCTTACCTGCAGTGTTTTTGACTTTATTAAGAGCCAATTCCCTAACACATCCCCCTCACCTCTTTCATGTCATAGCCCTCTCCTTTTCTGGGAGAGACTAATCACTGTCTGTGTTGGCCAAGCTCTTGTGCTTCTTCCCTTGCCTCCCTACATAACCTGTTATGTAGTAGCCAGAGGAGAAGCAAAGGGGATGCTATAGAGTGTCACTTGAGTGACAGCTCTGAGTCTGCTGAGGTTACTCATATCACACCCAGCAGAAGACTGGATGTGATATCGGCAGGTTCTTTGCATGTCTATACAATTGAGGTTTTGACAGGTAAATAGCATGCATAGTATAAGTTAAATGCACATATAATCATATGGGAATTTTTTGTTGAAGTGAATGGTTTGGTGACAGGATCTCTTTAACATAAGAATATTACATACACAGAATCAGGAGGATGTATACCCTTAGTCAACTGTGTTAAGGCCAGCTTAGTGATAAGCAACTAATATATTCTGTAATATGATATATATTGTGAAGATGAAGCTTTTTCTTTGCTTTGGCAGACCACATGAGGGATTCGGTGTAGGGGAGAAGATAGTTCTCATCACCTTCATCTCAGCAGTAATTCTGATGACCACTCTGGGTAACCTTCTAGTGATGGTGGCAGTATGCCGGGATAGGCAACTGAGGTGAGTCTTGAAACAGCATGATCTTTAATACATTTATGATGATAAAAATAATGCTAAAGATTAAATATAATGTATTTACTATATGGTTCTGTGTAAAGACCAAGTCTGCCAAAAAAGATGATATTCAATATTTGGTTGTCAGTGAACTGAATCATCTACTGGCATCAACTCAAGACTTATGGGAAATTTTGCAGCAATGTTTCCCCACCAGAGCTCCAGATTCTAATAGTACCAGCCCAGTCTTGGTGAGGTATACCTGCAAATATGTTTTTTTTTTCCAAGGCATGATGTACTTGTCTTAAATGAAACGCAGACATCACAAACCTTTTCTTATATGTGATCATATTCAATCTATATCCAACCTAATTCAAGAGGTGGATTAAATCTGTTATACACATTATGCACACATTTTTCATCATGTTTAGCAAAAATACGTTGTGAAACAACAAACTGCATTGCACTGCAAAATAAATTATGAAAAGCCTGCCAAGCTATACTAAATGCTGAAAAATTAGATCAACCATTGGGTTATACAGTAGATATGCCCAGAAGCAGAATATAATGCTGGACTCAGGAGACCTTGATATTGCTGTTGGACTCCCAGAGACCAGCAAGATATGCATCTCTAAACCCATAAAACAAAATGTTAATATATTGCAGCTTATTAATCCTTAAAGGAGAATTATGGGGAGAGTGAAATACGCTCATCCCCATAATTAGAGCCCACGTGTAACACTGCAGCTGTTACATGTCGGCTCTATAGATTGAGAACTGAACGATCACAAACTGTTGACCGCTCAGTTCCTGATCTTCTCCCTGCGGAAAGTGGTGACTGTCAGTCACAGCTCCATGCAGGGATGCCCCCCTCCCCTCTCCATTCCTCCAGCGCTGACTGGAGGGATGGATGGGGCACTGCTGGCTTTGCCTCTAGAGAGGCAGAGCCAGCTGTCAATCAGGCAGTGGGGGGGGGATCTAGACAATATTGTCAGGATCTTTCCCGGCTGCAGGCTTTTCACAGTTTTGGGTCACATTAATAAATGTCCTCCTGTGACCCCAAAGAGAACTACAGGCAAAAAAGGTTGGGCCATAATTATCTTTTAAATGTGGTGGTTGCATTTGTGGGGGGGGGGGTTTAGATCTTCTCCCTGCAGAAAGTGGTGACTGTCAGTGGGGTGGTATGTGAGATCGCACTCACAGAGTCGGATAGAAGTGACATTTCAAGACCGATCAGCTGTTCCAGGACAGATCGGTTTTCCTGCACATGCGATTTGCGATGCCGATCTGCCCTGGAACAGCTGAGAAAGCGTTGGAATGCTTCATCTATTGGCGGTCACACATTCCACCACCACCACGTCACCGGTCACACATTCTAACATAGTCACGAACTTTGATAGAACACCGCCATCAGGGGGGTATAGCTGGTACCCATGTGGGAGGTCTGGGCAGCCTGGGGGGCCCCTAACATGAGTGTCAGCTGTACCAGAGGCGGCATGGCAGAGGTGACAGGGGAGGGGGTGGAGGAGGCCGGGCCCCAGCAGCAGCAGGTAAGAAGAGTTGGGAGGAGGTACAGGGAAAGGGACCCCAACAACCAGCCCACCTGGGACCCTGCAAAACCCACCATAGAGAGTCTCAGGTGGGCTATGCAGGATCTATGGTGTGCTCTGCAGGGTCTCAGGTAAGTCCAGAGTCCAGCACGCTACTGCAACATTAGAGACCACTGGGGGGGTTGGGGGGCCAGTGTGATCTGCTCCCGCACACCCTCCTCCCCCCCGGCTTGTGAGGGGGCTCAAGATAAAATCTTGCACCAGGGCCCTTTGGTTATTCGGTCTACCACTGGTTAGATGGACCAGTAGATTTAGATATACTTAACAAAAAAATTAAATCTGAACAGCTAACAAGTTTTAAGCAGTTAGAGCAACAGTTGTTTCCTCCTGGGATGGTTTTACAAAAATGAATAAAGGCTGACCATTGTCAGTGTTAAATGGTTTGTCTCATCCCTCTATCTGCCACTTTTCTGGACAGCTTGGTCTGTTAAAGGAAGTTAAAAAATAACAGACTTAACGGCCAGGTGGAAAAAAAGAAAAAAAAGAAAGTAATCCAGCCACTACATCTAAAACTTGATAAGTTGCAATATATTGGAAAAAAAAAGTATGTTGCCATAAAGCTATATAAAATATGTCTGTCTTTATGAAAACACAATGTAGCCCTGTTATGGGATCAGCTCCTTTAAGAGAAAAGATATTGCAGCTGCAGGTGGAGCCAGAGAGCACAGCTTTGTGGGGATTGTGGACACAGCCACTGAGGAATTAAAAATGAAAATGGATACTTAAACTACAATTCCCAGAGTGTTACAGGGGGGGGAGGGAAGTAAACTCTGGGGGCTAAAGGTTGCTGGGCGGAGTCTAGATGACTGTCTATACAGTCTCTGTGTTATGCTGTGTAGAGATAAATGTTGATGTTGTATACTGCTATTCAGATTATTATATACAGTAAATAGTTATTTAAAATCTCACAAGGTGTGCTGGTGTGCTGTGGATTCATTGTTTGTGGTGTGTCACAGAGGTGATACAGAAGACCCGATCATCCAGCGGCTCCTTCGGGGGTGAGCGCTACAACTTGTATAAAACCTGTATTCAAATTCAAAACACTGAGGGGGATTTATCAAAACTGGAGCAGACAAAATCTGGAGCAGCTGTAATGTCAACCAATCAGCTTCGATCTTTCATTTTCAAATCTTACTGAACAATCTGCAGAGAGAAGCTGATTGGTTCCAATGGGCAACTGCCCCAGATTCTGTCTGCTCCAGTTTTGATAACTCTCCCTCTATCATTTATATAGCTTTATTGCAACAGACTCCTTGAAATCATATTATGATACAAGAGGGTTAGCCAGGAATAGTTTCTCTGTTAGAGTTAGGCAGTACAGTGGTGTCACGACTTCCAGCCCACTAATTAGACAGTAACACACTTAATAGCCACCCACTCTGCCCTCTCGTGCTGTCTGTGTGTTAATTTGCAGCACATTTGCATACAATAGGGCCTGATTGGCTTCTAGTGTTGCCCCTTCCCCTCCCAATCTTGATTTCTGTGTAAAGGATTCCAGAAGATAGAGATAATGCAAAAATATGCAAGGGCTACACAATTGCATTTTTTAAAATATTTGCCTGTAATTCAACATAGTTGTGAAAATTGTACAGAATCCCAGTGATGAAGAGGAAATGATAACTAAGAACTTTTTTGGCAACTACAGAAAATACCTGTCGATCTTGCCAGATCTTGTCCTGGTTGCTTCCTGTTAACTGCCATAATGTATGTACGGTAGCTGTGAGAAAAAACCTAGGTAGGAACGTTGTGAATATGTTTCAGCAAGAGAATGGTCTTCTGCACTTGTGCAATAGGTACATCGCTTCTCGGCCTTTTGGCTAAGATCAAGTGTAGTATCCGTTCTTATCAGTTGTTGGAGGGGAGAGGATGTTGCCACCCGATGGGAGAACATTCTAGTACCCTCTGACGTAATGGTGGGTGTCGGAGGACGGTTCGGTCCACTGCTAGTTGCGTCAGGCCCTGATGTACGGGTAGACCCTAGACAGTGGGAGGACCCCCGACGGCACTACCTCCTGATGTGAGCGGAGAACCACGGGGTCTGGCCCGAGGGTTCGGGGGGCGGCAGAAGCCTGTGGTGTTGTGCCCCCTGGGGGTGGCGTCCCAGGGGTGCTGAGGAAGTCACATGGGTGTGGGACCCCACATCACTCACTGGCACTTGGTCACACACCACCTTGCAATTTTCTGCACTTCGCCTCCAAGACAGGCCTTATGGCTAGTCTGGGGCAATATTTTTGCACTCCGGCCCCTAAGGCCTGTCAGAGTGGTGCACTGGCACTTTAGATTTATTTAAGCACTCTATCCACGATTGGCACTTTTTTATTTTACTATTTGACCCACAGATGCTGAAGGTGCAGGTTTCTTCGGGGCCTATTCCTGATGCTGGGAGGAGATTCTGTGCCTCCTATGGGGTTCTCTGTCTCCTCCCACCCAGGAGGGGGGTTTCTCTGCCTAGTACTGCGAGGGACCCGCTCCGGCAGGTCCCCGAAGGAAATGGGTCCACCGGCCTTCGGGTTGGTGGGCCAACAGTCTCAACCCCTGTCAGGAGCCTTGCGCCCCAGGGGGTCGGGAAAGTAGGTCCATTCTTTGGAAGGACCTTGCACCCTTGTGCACGTTTTTGTGTGCTGTGATTTCACGGTTCACTTTTTTTGTTCACAGGGGGAAGTTTGATGCACGTCCACGGGCTTCGACAAAAAAAAAATAGGTACAGTTCAACAGTAGACTGCCGGATTTTGAATGGAAGCATCACACTCCATTTAAAGGAGAACTATGAGGTGAGTGATTTTCACTCATCCTCATAGTTCTAGCCGACCTGTGACAATGAAACTGTCACAGGTCGGCTCAGTAGATCAGGAAGTGAGCAAACACATACTGGCGTTCGCTCACTTCTCGATCCTGTCACGGCAGAGAGCCGTGACAGGGGAGGGACTGGATTCACCCCTCCCCTGTCCGTCACTCCAGCGCTGACTGGCGGAACGGACGGGGGAGGGGGCGGGTACAGCTGGCTCTGCCTCTAGATAGCTGGGTGGACATAATTGTCGGGACCCGTTTCAGCTGCGGCTGTAGCTCACGGTATACTCAGCTCTGGGTGACGAGATGACACTAGTTTGTGTCCTGCCATTACCCTTAGGAGAACTATGGGGAAAACCCCATAGGTCTCCTTTAATAGTTTGGATACATCTTTAATCAATGTAGGGTTGACAGTATAGAAATAGCCAACACATTTTTGGGGCTCATACAAATACCCCCTTTATCAAGGCTTACTGAGGGAGAACATATATCAGGACTGTAATGGTTTGAAATGACACCATTTTGTCCAGTATGTGAGAATGCATAGAGCTCTTCAGGACTGTTTTGGCATTTTAAAAGAAGAGTGATTTACCACTGACCCTTTAGACACTTTGTGCAGAAGTAATGTAACGTTTTTGTAAAAAGAATAGCAAAGCCTTTTTCTGTATTGCAATACAACTGCTAGTACAGAAACTACCAAACTGCAACTGAAGGTACACACAATCATACTTTTTCCTTATCAGAAGCTGGCTTTCATCCGTGGCTATCTTGGTTTATGACAGGAATAGCTAAAGAGCATTTAGTACAGTGGATGGTTTCTTATCACTGTGATATAGATTTGCCAGGCTTGGCTGAGATCATCTTTACAGTATGGCATTTAAAAAGCTGAAAATGTATCTTTTCTTTATGTTTCCTGAACCACAAAGCACCTTCTTCTCTGCAGAGAACCAACCGCTAATTAGAGGCAAGAACAGCGCTGTCATATTCTGGGAGTCTCGTTACATAGAGACTCAACCCTGTCTGTAATTTTAGATAAATATATCATGAAAATTAGCCTTTTGCTGCTTATTTCTTTCAGCTAATTCTTCTAAGTTTGTCACCTGTCAGGATTCTAGGAATGAACATAATGAGTCTGTAATCTCTTAAGAGAGTAAAGAAAAAGCTCAAATATGTATTGTTACAGATGCCCTGGAAGTATTATGCATTGAGCTAGACTATTAATCATTAATAATAAAAGCTGAAGGCTAAAAGGCTGAAGGCTGTTAAAGTAAGCGTTTGTGATGTTGCTAGCTTATATAAAAACATAACTGAAACTAGTTATGCATTAAAAAAATATACTTCTGTGATGATGTTTATTTAACCAGGTCGTGGTATGGCTTACAATATTTAGTGAGTTTTAGCTTGGCTTGTTTTGTAATGTTTATCATGTTTCACCTTTCATCCAAGTGGCTTCCTCAGACCACATGGATGATTGGTAAAACCTCAATACACCATTGCAAGTACCGATGAACTACTACTAACTTTTATATATTTTTACAAATAACTAGCACCTTAGGTGCAGGGAAAGATTGGGAACTTTTGGTCTGGGAGGCAAACACACCCAACTAGCCTTTTCATAGTAGAAATGAACTAAAGAAAGTGCAACATACAATGTGTGCCGCAGTGTTTGGTGGTCATGGTGATAGTGGGTATTGTCTTGAAGAACCTGGGTCATTCCATACCATCATCACATTTAGTTTGTATAATTCAGCTTCCATTTTTGACTTCCTTTGCAGCTTTTTGCATTCAGTTGCAAAACATATCAGAACAACAAAGGAAGTTGATGATAGAAGACTTACATGTGTCAGGTGCTGTGTTCACATGACTAAAGAAAGAACGGATAGTTGTATAATGCTCATTAGCTGTCACTGGCTGCAGGCCCCAGTCCAGTATATCTTTTTTTATCCTTGCCGGTTGCAAATGTTTCCCAGCCCCCTTGTCCAGTCCTTATCATTGTGCTGTTGTTTATCATTTTCCAATCAGCTGTCGGGGATGGGCTGCTGACCAAGTTGCTGATCATCCCCGCCATGCGTCTTGGGCTCCACTGCCACTGGCTTGTTAGCCCCTTAGTGATAGCAATAAAGCTAAGTAAAAAAATGTGTTAAAACAAATTTATGTTAAATAAAATAAACTAAAAAACACCCAAAAATGTTTTTAAAATCACCTGACTTTGTGTACACACAGACATACAGTAATACCTTGGTTTACAAGTAACTTGGTTTGAGAGCGTTTTGCAAGACAAGCAAACATTTCTGAAAAATTTTGCCTTGATATACAAGCAAATGTCTTGCAATAAGAGCAAAATTTTGTAGAAAAGCGCCACCCGAATAAGGCTGTAGCTGTGTGAGCGATGAGTCTGTTTAACGACAACACAATGTCACATTGGATAGATTCCTTGTTAAGGTTTCACGAAATGAAAAAGATTCCATTGAGTCAAGAGATAGCAGTGATTCCGTTAGTGATAGTGAAAGTCGTCCTACACAATAATCCTTCTCTCTCTCGTCCCCCTCACACCAACCACAAAGGTATGGGTAATTGGTTTATTTGTCTTTATATTTTGTACAGTATTATATTACAGTACAGTATTGTAATCATTTGTATATGAATATTTTTGGGTTGTGGAACGAATCATCTGAATTTCCATTATTTCCTATGGGGAAGTTCGCTTTGATATACAAGCGCTTTGGATTACAAGCATGCTTCCGGAACGAATTATGCTCGTAAACCAAGGTATTACTGTATACCAAACACACGTTGGATGTGCCTAAAAAAAATGCCCCACACATATTGGGTATCACCGTACAAGCTGGAGTGAGCGCAATAATTCTAGGGCCATTATTTATGGAGCCACTTCAGGTGGGTGGCCATTTTTAAACTTCTGCCCCCTGAGGCAGTTATACCAAGAACACAGCTGCGGCTGCAGCCGCATTCTTAGTACCAGTGTAATCAGCTGGCAATTGCTGTTCAGGTAGAATCGATCGGGCCGCTATACATCATACAACAATGTTTGTGCCAAGCAGCGGAGTGTGCCCTCCCCCCTCTGCCACCGCCGCCTACACTGGGCATCGATTGGAGGGAGATCAGCAAGCTTTTAGCCGCTAATTTCTCCTCTGATCACTGGACCCGGAAAGTGATGTGCATTACATCACTTCCGGTGTCAATGTTTACATTCCCTGGCTCCTGCGGCCAAGAGAAAAAGATGGTGAAGCAGATTGCTGCTTCATCAGCTTCTGATGTTTCCATAAAGAGGACCTGTCACATTATATTTGCTATTACATAGCCGCGGTGAAAGCCGCAGCTGGCCAAATGGCCGTCCATTGGCCGGCCGACAGCCTGCTTCTGACAGCTGGGTGTGGCCATCCGCCATCTCACGGCTGGCTCCGGCCACTTTCAGAGAGATCAGCGTCCCTGGTTACCAGCTAACCAGGGACGCTGTCATTACACACTGAGAGTGGCCTCTCCGTGTTCTCAGTGTGTAATGACAGATGGTGTTCCTGGTTACCAGGTAACCAGGAACGCCATCTGTCATTCCTCCCCCGGACGCTCTGGGAGTCTAATAGGTTTCCGGCCTATTACCTATAAATCACCATAGGAATGCATAGCTAGATTCTGCACCCGCCCACTGCTGCTGTCAATCAGCAGAGGGGGACCTGCAGTTCTCCATCAGGTCCCCCCTCTGGTGATTGACAGCAGCAGAGGGTGGGTGCAATAGCTAGTTTGCTATTGGCTATTGCAAAGTGAAATAGCCAATAGGAATCTAGCTATGCATTTCTATGGTGTGTTCTTTTTTTAAATTTGACGGCAGCAGAACCGCCCGGCCAATAGAAAACAATTGGGTGGAGCTAGCTGTCACTGCTAGCTCTGCACAATCGTTTTCTAATTATTATTTTTTTACTATTTTTCTATTCTGCTCGGTTCCACAGAGGGACCAAGCAGAACAGCCGAGCCAAATGCCGCTCAGCGGCATTCGGCTGTTTACTCACAGCTGTTCGGCATCTATGAGAATAGACCGAACAGCAGCAAGTAGCCTGCCGGAGGTTCAGCTTAGCCGATCCAGATGTTGGATCGGCTGAGTCGAACTCCTTCTGCACTTTGGGTCGGCCGAACATGCGGAGCATGTTTTGGGATCCCAAAAAAGAATACCACTTCTTTGCATATGACTCTCTTCATTAGACTAAGATTATATTGGCCCACTTACATCTAGGCTTGCTTAATGCAGCACGCAGTAAAGAAAACACATAGGTGTGAATGGACCCTTATAGCTCCACTTTGAGCCCCATCCTAAATTGCAGTGCATAGAAGTGAACTAGCCACATGGGAAATAATGAAATATCTACTTTACATTTTATGTGTTTTCATGCAGGAAAAGAAAGTATGAATAGACCCTAAAGCTCTTCCTGAATTCCTTTTTATTCATTGGGAAAATTCTGTCAAGACCACAATGATTAGAGCCATGGTGAAAGACTAGGCTTGGGATGTTGCGGTTTATTATCCTACTGCAGTTCCTGATTGTTAAGCATACAGAAAGTTATTGGATCACATTTATCCATAACAGATTTATTTTTGGTTGGACTTTTTGGCCGGTTTGCACCTAAATGTTGCGCTAAATGGATGATACCAAAAATGCTGCAGTGCAAGGCCGCCGGGAGGTATGTTGGGGTGCCATTCAAATGCCATTCAACACACCTAATGTACAGTATTGTGAATTTAGTGCAGGAAACCGCCCCTTAATCAGTCTCATACTATGTGTGACATTTTGTATTTTAATTTGCAGGAAAATTAAAACCAATTACTTCATTGTGTCGCTTGCATTCGCTGACTTGCTGGTGTCAGTATTAGTGATGCCATTTGGAGCCATTGAGTTAATCCAGGATAAGTGGATTTATGGGGAGATGTTCTGCTTGGTACGAACCTCACTCGATGTTCTCCTAACCACAGCTTCTATCCTCCACCTCTGCTGTATTTCACTAGACAGGTATGTGCCATGAATGTCTACTAAATGGCCTGTGAGCCAACTGTCTGCAATACATTATATATCTTACATTTGCTGTCTAAAAGTCTTCTTTTATCTATATAACAGTTTTTGGAGGGAGCTTTTAACCTTTCAGGCTCTGTGAAATGCTTTACAATGCTAATTTTAAAAATCTGTTCAGTCTCTATGGTAACATGGTTCTCTTCCGTATATATGTTAAAACGGTATAAAATTGTACGGTATCTGAAGTGTAATATATTTTTGGATCCCATTTTCATTATTTATAAAAATGAAAAGAGATTTTTTTCACTGCTTGTCATTTATCAATCAATGTATGTCCTGTTTATTTATATTTCTAGGTAAAGATAAGAACTTAATGATATAACGCTGTAAATGGGAAACATTAATTGACTCTACTAATGCTTTTGCTGTTGTGCATGATAAAGACAGTAGGCCATAAAGAAAGGAAAAAGAAAGAAAGCCCATGGTTGTCAGCTCTGACCTCATTATACTTGTGTTTTGGACTGCAACCTGTGTAACACTAATATGTTCTACACCAGTGGTTCTCAACTACTGGGCCATGGCCTGTCACTGGGCCACAACTTTCTTGGCAGGCTGCAGCTTCCTGTCTACTCCAGCCAGGATAGGCCTGAGTATAGTGCTGTTTACCTAGTGCTGTTAACCCAGGCCATGTGCCCACATCTATTGTTTGATGCCTCAGAGTTCCAAATATTTTTTTCAAATTCATCGTCTGCTATGTCCCCACCTGCCCACCAGCATCACTGCTATTCCTGTAATTTTTTAGCCTGCACTTGCTGGCTGTAGGTGGATGTGAATAATAGCTGAGTAATTTGGCTCAGCCCCTGCACTACCCACAGCCTCCTGCAGATGCAGTCTTGAACTAAGTCGCTAAGACTTCAGGCAAGCTATAAGCAATAAGAAAGAGGGCTGCAGTCTGCGATGATGCAGAAGTGAGCAGTGTTAGCAGCAAGTTGCAGGGCTAGTGGCTTTGAAAGAGGGTGGCAGGGGATGTAGAGCTGAGCATTGTTGGAAGGGGATGCACAGTTATGCAGTGTTGAAGAGGGTTGCAGAGATGAGCAGTGTTGGAGTGGAAGCAAAGGGTGCAGAAGTGAGCAGTGCTGAAAGATTGTTGCAGGTGGTTCAGGGGTGATATGTATTGGAAGAGGGTTGCAGGGGTGAGCAGTGTTGGAAGATTGTTGATGGGGGTGCAGGGGTGAACCCTGGCTGGGGGTGCCCAACTGCAGTGTCTTAGAAGCTGGGTGTTAGATTGTTGGGAAGCACCAGTGTCCCCTCTCCACCTGCAGCAGCAAAAGTGGCAAAGAAACTGGGGGAGTCAGTAGCAGCAAGGTGAGTGGAGGAAACCTACATACCTGAATAATAACCATCTAGCACTGTTAACTAAAAAAAAGCGTGAGGTTCCCCCCCAATTCATAACAGACCCTTTAGGTCTGGTAGGAATGTTAGGAGGGACCCCCCCAAGTTAAAACACAAAACAAAGTGCGTGGGGTTCCCTTCAAAATCCCTACCAGACCCTTGAGGTCTGGTAGGAATTTTAAGGGGGAACCCCAGCCCCCAAAAATAAGGAAAAACAGTCCTACCTAACAGTCCTACCAGACCCTTGATCCGAGCACTGGCCTGGCAGGGCAGGAAAGGGGGGGGGGGCGACCGGGGGCCCCCCCCC